CCTTGGGTGTACATGGCTGGCACCTTAGCCACTTGAGCCATAGGCGCTGAGCCCAAAATTCATATTTGAAATGACAAGCTAAAGCATTGCGGAAGACTCCAACAACAAATAGTTGTTCCTGGCCAGGTGCAGTGGCTCACACCTGTGATCCTAATACTCTGGGAGGCTGAGGTGGGTGGATTGCCTGAGCTCACAGGTTCAAGACCAGCCTGAGCCACAGCGAGACCTTGTCTCTAAAAAAAAAACAAAATAGCCGGGTGTTGTGGCAGGCACCTGTAGTCCCAGCTGCTTGGGAGGCTAAGGCAAGAGAATTGCTTAAGCCCAAGAGTTTGAGGTTCCTGTGAGCTATGACACCACAGCACTCTACTAAGGGTGACAAAGTGAGACTCTGTCTCAAAAGAAATTTAAACAAAACAAATAGTTGCCTCTACTTATGCACTGGAATGTTTTTGCCAACTAAGACAAGGTTCTGCCTTTACCAATAATGAGGGCGCAGTTACTAGCTCAAAACATGCATATCCTGTGGTGGGCCTGTGGTCCCAGCTACTCGGGAGGCTGAGGCAAGAGAATTGCCTAAGCCCAAGAGCCAGAGTTTGCTGTGAGCTGTGACGCCACAGCACTCTACCGAGGGCAACAAAATGAGCCTGTCTCTAAAAAAGAAAAAAATGCATATCCTCTAATTTTCTTCTGGTTTACAAATATTGAGGGGAAAAAAATGTGTTTTCTCATCCCACAGATCTTAATGAGAGAGAAGTAAAACAAAATTGGGGAAAGGTTACATTTCTGAATATTCTCGGGTTAAAGTGACGATTGGCACTGAGACCTGGAGATTAAAAAACAAAACCTTAAATGTAGGTCTCACTTGTTTCAGTGCTAGGCTTTCCTGGTTAAGCTAGATCAATGATTCTCAGTCCTGGCTACACTTCAGAGTTAGTTACTTGTGGAGATTTTTAAAAATAGCAATGCTTGGGAGGCGGCACCTATGGCTCAAGGGAGAAGGGCACCAGCTCCATATGCCAGAGGTGGTGGGTTCAAACTCAGCCCCGGCCAAAAACTGCAAAAAATAGCAAGGCTTGGGCGCCATCTCAGACCAATAAAGTGAATCTGTAGAGTGGTCCCGAGGCCCCTTTTGTGAAGCTTGTAATTCAGAATGTCTAGGGGTTCAGGGTCTATATGTTAATAAGTATCCCAAGTAAAATCTTATGATCGGCTCGGTGCCTGTGGCTCAAGCAGCTAAGGCGCCAGCCACATACACCTAAGGTGGCGGGTTCGAATCCCCAGCCCAGACCTGCCAAACAACAATGACGGCTGCAACCAAAAAATAGCCGGGCGCTGTGGCGGGCGCCTGTGGTCCCAGCTACTTGGGAGGCTGAGGCAGGAGACTCGCTTGAGCCCAGGAGTTGGAGGTTGCTGTGAGCGTGATGCCATGGCACTCTACCCAGGGGGATAGCTTGAGGCTCCGTCTCAAAAAAAAAAAAAAATCTTATGATCACTTAGTTTGGAAAATACTTTCCTGATGTCCTTAGCTACTGTTTAGTGACCTAAATTTTTCTGTAACCTTTCTTTTTTTTTTTTTTTTTTTTTTGAGACAGAGCCTCAAGCTGTCCCCCTGGGCAGAGTGCCATGGCATTACAGCTCACAGCAACCTCCAACTCCTGGGCTCAAGCGAGTCTCCTGCCTCTGCCTCCCAAGTAGCTGGGACCACAGGCGCCCGCCACAACGCCTGGCTATTTTTTGGTTGCAGCCGTCATTGTTGTTTGGCGGGTCCAGGCCGGGGATTCGAACCCGCCATCCTAGGTGTACGTGGCTGGCGCCTTAGCCGGTTGAGCTATAGGCGCCGAGCCTGTAACCTTTCAATAACTATTTTCTACACATACAAAGAAGCATTCAAAATTATGGAAACTCAGGATATGATTTTAACTAGTTTGCCTATAGCAAACCAATTTGCAAATTCTTTATTCACTTTTCTTTCAAAAGAAATCGCCATTTTTGTTGCCATTGCAATACTTAAATCTTTTTATTTATTTTTTTCCAGGAAAATAAATCCATTGAAGAATCTTAGGAGCCAAATCTTCTAAGCCTAGGCCTACTGCTGTCAACATCTCTGAGACCTCCTTCATCTGAGAATTACCAGGTCTGACAACACTTTCCCTCCAGTCTACAGTGAGGGACATCAGCAAAGCCGTAGAAACTCACATCCTCTAGACTTACAGACTTCAAGCTGTACGGCTGGCCAGGAACCTTACAATCTCCATCCTTGGGGAAGATTCAGGAAGAAAGCCAAGAGGGGTGGAAGGTCAGATATGCTGAGCTTGAAATACACAAAAGCCTTTAGAAAGTCTCTTTACAGAAGCAGCCAGCTGAATCCATATAACTAGTCTACACATCCAGACGAGCTGAAGGGAAAAGGGACTCCTTTCTCCCCCTACCGGAACATAGTAAAAATCTGATATAATACTCTAGGAGATTCTTGGCCCCCGTCACAGTATTATAAAGCAATTTCACCATATTCATTTTCATCAGCATAAGGGCAGGAGGGTGAAAAATAAAGTTCTATTTATTCATTTTTCAAAATTGACTAAGAAGCTCTGATAGAACCTTTTGCAGGTGTGCTTGCTGGAGGACAGAGAGGGCGTGGCTATTGCCAAATTAGAACATCGCTATTTTCTTGTTTGGGCACTGCTGACTTAGCTCTGAAAGTGAGTGGTATCCGACTGTTGGAACACCCACAATAGATTCAGAGACAGTCTAAGAGACTGTGGAATGTCTCAAGGGAAATAGAAATCATTAGCAACAGGCACCGATTCAAGGCTTGAGTGATGACAGAGGTGCATTTTAAATTCCATGGAAATCTCACTGGGCGTGCCCATTTTCCCACTCTGGCAACAGAGGTCGACACCACTTCAGACAAGTATTCCAACCTGTACATGTATGTGGGCTTATTTCTGAGCCTCCTGGCCATTCTCCTCATTCTGCTCTTCACAATGCTCCTTCGGCTCAAGCACGTCATCTCACCTATCACCACTGAGAGCACAGAAAGTGTTCCCCAGTTCACAGATGTAGAGATGCAAAGTCGAATCCCCACTCCTTAAAGCCAGGATGAAAGCGAGCTTTCGGGGATCTCAGTGAACCCTGGCATGTGGATATCCAGGAAAGCTTGCTTTCTTGCATGAAGCTTCCCATGTAGGGAACCAACAAGTTGTTTGTTTAACATGCTATTCATGTTTTGTGCTATTTTTCATCTTGAATCTGCTTGTGGGATATCTAAGAGGTTAAAGGCTCATTCTGTGAAAGGAATATAGGAACTGGCAGCTGGTTGGGAGGGCATGTTCCCATAGTAACCAAAGAGAGCCTGGGCCTTGAACCAACCTCAGACCACAAAAATTCATATGCAGTGGTTGTAAGAGACACAGAATACCTAGAAACTCCAAAAGTGAGGCAGATTTGCCTTCAAAAAGGCTGATTATTGGTTTGGAGCCTGTGGCTCAAGCAGCTAAGGTGCCAGTCACCTACACCTCAGCTGGTGGGTTCAAATCCAGGCCAGGCCCACCAAACAACAATGACGGCTGCAACCAAAAAATAGCCGGGCGTTGTGGCGGGCACCTGTAGTCCCACCTACTTGGGAAGCTGAGGCAAGAGAATCGCTTGAGCCCAGGAGTTAGAGGTTGCTGTGAGCTGTGAGGCCACAGCCCTCTACCCAGGGTGACAGCTTGAGGCTCTGTCTCAAAAAAAAAAGAAAAGGCTGATTTATTCAAAGGTGGTACTCCAAGAAAAGAACAAGTTTCAATTTAGTACTTCAACCCTAAAGAATCACCTCTATTAACATGAAGCCAAATTATGTCAGAGGTTAACAGAAGGGACTACTAGCCCTTTCCCAAAAGAGCGATGATTTGATCATCTTAGGCCCTCAGGTTTATCCCAAATGAAAGAAGAGATTTAAAGAAACCAGAGCAAAGTTGCAGAAAGAAGTTCCTAGTAAACAAACCCACGTAGAGAGGAAAAATGTGCATGTGATATCTGTGTTAATGCTATTACTTGACTTTTAAAAGCTCGGATAATAGTAGATGTATTACCAAAATCTAGAACAATGAGCTGCCCCCAAATCGAGAAAAAATTAAGTCGAAATATTTTCATGATAAGGAACCCAACATTATACATACAGCTTATTTGCCTTTTTCTCCCTATCCATCACACCCCAGAATTGAGGTACACACAAATAAGAGCTTTATTTAAAGGTGGCTTTGGCAAAGAAGATTCATCTATACTTTAAAGCAGAAATGAAATGATCTTGGTATTCTGTGGTTAAATGATTGTGGCTTATGACAAAACATTTGAGCCTTCTGGGTCCCGGGGGGAATTTTTGCCGAAAAATGATCAGGGAGCTATTTAGTCATCATTAGACTCTTTTTATATCTGAGTATAAGAAAAACAAAGAGCGAGAAAGGAGGAAAGGATTGAATAATACCCTCTAACAAATCCTTACTGAGATCAATATCATTGAATGTGACATTTCTATTTCCCAGAAAATGCTCTTCCTTTCCTGCCAAATAATGAAGTGTTTCACTTATTATCTATGAGAGAAATATATTTTGAAAAATCCCATTCTCATAAGTAGCACTAGTATGCCAGTAGGGAGAGAGAATTTAATTTTTTTAAATTAACTTTCCAAAGGGGAACCAAAGGAGATGAGTACCATTTACAAATTAGACAAATTAAAATTAAAAAGCCAATCGTATTCTTGCCACCAAAGTCCTAGTACTTCTGTGTTAAAATCTACCTGCTTAAAAAAATATCAGTTCTCCCCTGCACCTAAAAGATAGTCATCAAATTTCACAGAGAGACATGGGATCGATGTTAGGTTAATGCCACCTTTACCAGACCTGTAGCTCTCTACAGGCTGTAACCGATTTAGATGGGCCCCTTTACTCTGATCTGAATATAGCTCGGTGGTGAAATTCCCAAGTGCTTTCCACTTTTCTACATAGTCACTTGCCAATGCTCCACTCTCCAAGGGGCTGCAAAGTGTGAAATCCCCACATGCAGAGCTAAACTTAGCAGCAAGGCTGACTGCTACACCTGTTACAACTGTACTTGCTCTGTCAGAGATGGCCGCTGCATTCTGGACCATTCAGAACAAATGAGCAGGTAGGCGAAGTCTTGGATAGGGATATGGTGTACACTTCCCTCTGGGCTTAGATTTTCCAAAACTCAAAGTGATTCCTATTATTAGGTCGTACATTTACTCAACACCCAGATTCCATGGGCCCTTTAAAATCTGAGCTCTTGGCAGCCATACGTGGACTTCATCAAAAGCTGGAAATACACCCCAGAACTTTTTTTTTTTTTTTTGCAGTTTTTGGCCGGGGCTGGGTTTGAACCCGCCACCTCTGGCATACGGGGCCGGTGCCCTACTCCTTTGAGCCACAGGCACCACTCATCCCCTGCCTCCAGAACTTCTTAAACACACATCCCTTCACTCTAGGCTCTCCCTTTTGTGCCCACAGTATTTGATGCACTTTATAGTTGAAAAGTCAATGGCTGGATACATGAAGGAACTGATCACACTTCCAACAGCAGCGAATAGCAAGATACACAATACCTTGTTGCTGAATCTGATGAAGACACAGACTACAAATCCATTCCCAGCTACCTGACTTCTCCAACCCATATTTCAGGAGATTAAAGCTGCTTTTTAAGGACTGTCTTGGATGAAGTATTCTAATTTATGTTGAGGTTACTCACCTGGAAAACAAACCACCCTCTTTCATCACAACTACCCCAGGGGATCCAGCATTTACCAAAGCACACATCAGATTACACTAGAATAGTAGCATAACCCCTGACAATTTCCAGTGATAGCATAAATGGAGACAGTTTTAAGCAGATATGTCATTAAGATGACTCACGTATAATCTGTAGAAAAAGGAACTGAATGATCTCATCATAGCAAACTCACTATAAAAAATCATTTTCCATTTATATTAAATTATATTCCCCAGTATATCCATTAACATATATTACTGCTTAAGGAAACAGAGTAACCAGTGAGCAGAATTTAAATTTAGCCTTCTATCCAAAATGCTGACTTGGCAATTCCCTTCTCCACGCCTACTGCCCCCACCAAGTGCATGTTAGCTGATCCATAAATAGGTAGTTTATTGATACATGTATATAGGTATATTCTGCTTAAGGATGAAGAGAATACTTCACTTTTTTGTTTTGCTGAACCATATGAAATTCCCATTTTTATAAGCCCCAAATGCTCAAATATCAGCAATTTTATATAACTCAACCTAATACAAAGACTCACTACATGAATTCTTTAAATAGGAAACGTTTAAAAAGAATATATGTTTAAATATGTTACAATATGTTTAAAAGGAATTTAATTTCTAAACATGTATTTTGCATACACTTTAGAGTCACGGGTTGTATGAAACAAGGTATATTGTAAAAGGCTTATGTATTGCATATGAGTCAGGAAATGTTAAGGTTAATCAAGTAAAAAGATGGATTCATCCAGCCTAACCTTTCCATCCATGCCAAATCTGAAGCTTTGGACTCATAACTGAGTTTGACCACTGCAGATCCTGCTGTACTTACTAAGTAGGTAGAAGGGATTCATCTAATGCATTGAAACGGTTATATTTAGTAATACATTTTATTCACCTGCATTTGTACAAGAGAAGAACTTTTTTTAACAAAATGAAGAACGACGTGGGGAAAAATCAGGTTTCTTTTGTTTGAAATCATTGATATTTGAAACAGATTTCTAATGTATAAAAAGAAGTATATTTGCGTTAATATTTAGCATGTCATTTTTGATCCCTGGACAATAAATGGTAATTTGCTGATAACACTTGTCTATGATCTGAAGATTGTAAAGAGAATGACATTAATCTCTTCATCCCAGTATAAATTGTAACAGTTACGCGTTTGTGAAACTTTCCATTTTGAGGTCTCATTATTTATCCTTATGCCCTAATTTCCTGGTTTTTATTCTCTCCCCACTCGCATACTGGTACATTTGTTTGTTTAAGTAATAAAATGTGAACAAAATGAATGACTTCTAGCTGTCAATGAGTGTGACATGGGGGGAAATGAGAACTTGAAAAATCTCGCACTCAATATTGTCTTTTAATTTCTTCTCATTAGAACCCCTTGTTTAAAGTCTTTTGTACAATCTGCTGGGTTTTGTTTGCAGCACAAAAACTATATGAAACCAGCATTCAGGGAAGAAATCACAGCCATGATAATCAACAATAACTCCATGTTCTGTCATTTGGTTATCTAACTCAACTACTCTATCTTCCCCTGACATGGGACAATCATATTCTTCATCGTAGCCATCATACAACTGCCCTTCTTTAACTAAATCACCCACATTAATTTTTTTTTTTTTTTTGAGACAAAGTCTCACTCTATTGCCCTGGGTAGAGTACCATGGCGTCACAGCTCACAGCAACCTCAAAATCTTGGGCTTGGCTCGGCGCCTGTGGCTCAGGTGGCTAAGGCGCCAGCCACATACACCTAAGGTGGCGGGTTCAAATCCAGCCCGGGCCGCCAAACAACAATGACAGCTGCAACCAAAAAACAGTCGGGCATTGTGGTGGGCGCCCGTGGTCCCAGCTACTTGGGAGGCGGAGGCAGGAGACTTGCTTGAGCCCAGAGTTGGAGGTTGCTGTGAGCTGTGAGGCCACGGCACTCTACCCAGGGTGACAGCTTGAGGCTCTGTCTCAAAAAAAAAATCTTGGGCTTGAACAATCCTCAGCCTCCTGAGTAAGTGGGACTACAGGCCGGCACCCACCGCTTGATTTTCTATGTTTAGTAGAGACGGAGGTCTCACTCTTTTTTTTTTTTTTTTTTTGAGACAGTCTCACTGTGTCGCCCTCGGTAGAGTGCCATGACATCACAGCTCACAACAACCTCAAACTCTTGGGCTTAAGCGATTCTCTAGCCTCAGCCTCCCAAGTAGCTGGGACTACAGGTGCCCGCCACAGTGCCCAGCTATTTTTTGGTTGTAGTTGTCATTGTTATTTGGTGGGCTGGGCTGGATCCAAACCCGCCAGTTCTGGTGTATGTGGCTGGCACC